TTATCTACTTACAGACATGTCTTTGCCATGAAGTCTTCGCATTTCTTGTACCATTATGGTCTCCAGTATTTTATAATAAAGGATTTCTGCCAATTTTAACCGATTCACAGCAAAATCTGCAATTTAAGACAAAACATCTATAATGTTGATTTTTGAAAAATGTACAAATTATATTTAGCATAAAACATTAAACAATTCAGGTATTAAGATTGCAACTGTATACTTTGACTGGAGAAGAACTCCTGAACTCAACAGGTAACAAGTTGCACAGTAACAATGCAGTTCTACACAAACTGTTTACAAATAAACCCCAATAAATATCCTAGAACATGTTTCTAAGTACACATGAATGAAATAGAGCTACAAATGTAACAAAGACATTTCATTCTAGATAAAAAAACTCCAATGTTTGAGAAAAAATTGGATAAATGTTTATTTTACTTAAAACATTGTATAAACACACATACTATTCTCAACTATTGTTCATTACACTAAGAACATTGAGCTTTTAAGAGTTGGGTCTTGTCTTCCCTTCTTTCAAACCTTACAAGCCCTTTCCCTCCCCTCCCCCCTTCCCTCACTCCCCCCCCTCCCCCATTTTTTCTGTTTTTAATGTATCACTGTTAAAACCTCAATAAAAACTTTTTTAAAAATAGAGTTGGGTCTTGCACTTTTACAAAAATATCAGCTTTTACCTATGTGAGATCCTGGCTGATCATCAGTAGACCGGGTATAGTTTTGACAGAAGATTTCACCTATCTCTTTCACTCTGTTCATGATGTTTTCAATAGGATTTCGTACGCAAGACCTACAGGAGAGCACAAATAAATGGTTCTTATTTACACAATAAACATGAAGTTTATATGTATGCATGTGTAGACATGCATACTTCTTTTATTGCACATTAACTACCAACAGAAAAAAAAAATCAAGGGTCCAAACAAGAATTCTTTTTCCCATAGCAGCCTGTCAGAATCAAGTCCAAATTTGCTTGATATTAGAACTAGAAAAGCAGGTGCCTGTGATGATGTTTTACATTTATATCCCATATAAATAATCTCAAGGTAATATATAATGTTCTCTTCCCATTTTGTCTTAATATTACCCTATGGGATTAATCAGGCTGAAAGACTGACTGATACAAGATTAGCCTAATTCAGTCTAAATCAAACATAGGCAAACTTCGGCCCTCCAGGAGTTTTGGACTTCAACTCCCACAATTCCTAACAGTCAGTAGGCTGTTAGGAATTGTGGGAGTTGAAGTCCAAAACACCTGGAAGGCCCAAGTTTGCCCATGCCTGGTCTAAATGTAGTCCAATACTCTCATCATTACACTACTCTGGCTTTATGGGGCATAAAGGCAGCTTGAAATTTATAAACAGTGAGGCAGGCCGATAAAGGCAGAAAAAAAGGAGAAAGACTTACAAGACAAGGAAAGATTGTGAAGGAGCAGGAATAGCAATGAAAGCATCCGAGATGATGTCTCTGGGAAAGGTTGGCTGCTTTGTAGAAGAGAGGGATAGACAGTCTTTAACCCTCTGTTATGATGAGATGTAGCATCTTGAACCAGTTCAGGGTTGAAGCCCTGTCTTCTAATGCAAGAGGGTTCAAAGAATGCTCTGAGGTTGGGATCCTATGCAGAGCCCCACATTAAACAATTTGACCCAAACTTTTCCTTTGTTACACTACATAATTTCTTACAATAAGTCAGCAAATATGTTAAATAAATAAATATGTATATTGTATAATAAAAGCATGTGTGTATCTTATAAATCTAATTCAGTTACAATTATGTTGAAAAGAGTCCTTTAAAACAMTCCTTATTTTATTTAATGRCCTGCCATTCTCTGAAGACAGGAACCCATACGACAAGATTAAAGCAAAGTAACACGAATATGAAAGTAATATTAATTTTAAAAGCATATAATAATTTAGAATAAAACAAGGAAAAATGCAGCCATCTCCCACAACCCCCCCCCCCCCTTTGCACAACCTATCATTAAATGCCTATTTAAATAAGGTCTTAAGTGGTTGGTGAAATGAGAGTGGGAATTGAGAAAACTCTCTATAGGTACATCTAAACTGACTTTTAGAAAGAACTTCCTAACTGTGAGAGCTGTCCAGCAGTGGAACTCTCTACCTCGGAGTGTGGTGGAGGCGCCTTCTTTGGAGGCTTTTAAACAGAGGCTGGATGTCCATCTGTCTGGGGTGCTTTGAATGTGATTTTCCTGCTCCTTGGCAGGGGGTTGGACTGGATGGCCCACAAGGTCTCTTCCAACTCAATGATTCTATGAGTTGTTATCCTGAAGAGGGTCTTTGTGTGAATCAGCTCTGTGGCAGCTAAGTGATGAAAGGAGCTGATTCAGGTTTATACGGCCTTCAGATTGTTTTGAATGGTTCCTGAGAAACTCGAGCAAACAGTCCATGTAGCAACTGTGTCGATGGTTCTGGGAAACCAGACAGAACTGTTTACACATCCCCAGACTTCCCCAGAATCTTAAGCCTTGGGCATGCTCATACAGGGAGATACAATTTTCGACTAAGCCATAACCACCAGCACTTTGAAATCCACCCTGAAATAGTTATCAACGAAAGTTGTTACGAGGGTGCTGGATCAGGCACAAGGTTGTTTGTAAGGAGAGTTACATTCTGCCCATACATTCTTGGATCTTGGTCCTTATGTTTCTCAGATATTATTCAAATAGCTTCTCTAGACATCTAGAGACAGATTTTAAAGGATTTTATTTGTATCTAGTCAATTTTTATTTGATGTAAATTGCTCTCAGAAAACCTCTACACTTCAAGAAGCATACTGGCATCTAACAACATGTTTTGCACTTCAGGAAACACAGCATGAGCCTCTGGACTTTGGTACCCTAATCTACAACTAATAAAAATAAAAGAAGATGGGACAAGAAAAAAGATCTATAGATCTAAGTAAAAGGAAGAGATGGTGCATACTTACTCAAAAATAGTTAGAAGCTGTTCACTTGGTCCATTTTTCTGCCCTGCTACAATGCTCTGTAGCCGGCTTACACTCTGTGTTGCAGAAGCAACTGGAGTAATGACTGGTTCCTTCTCTCTCAGGTATCTTCTGCCAGTCAAGGGAGTAGAAGGTGCAAAGGATCTTTTCTAACAAGCCAAAATTAAATTTCTTTCAGTTATTTTGACCACTTTAACTATATAATACTAAAAAGATTCAGATCATAGCTGCAAAATACAAATGAAAAAAACAACTAAGATCACTCAATGAAATTGCATGTTACTTTTTTGGGGGTGAGGGAGGCTATACACAAACAAAGACTGCAGTTTATAGCACAAAATCAGTGTAGGGAAATGAAACCCTGGAACTTAGCATTCTGCAAGGGACAAATTCAGATGAGTTGGGGTGTAAGCTTATCAGCATCATTTTTTCTTAAGTTTCAGTTCAAGAGCCTTATCTATCCACAGCATCTGATCAGCATATCGATAAATTTCAACACCCATGGAGAAGGTCTTATGGTCCTCAGTGCCAACACCACAATTAATGCTCCTGAGGAAGCTTCAGAATCAAACATCCTGAGCAGTCTGCATTGGTGGCCCAGTTGAAACAGGCTTCATAACAGGAAGTAGTAGAAACAAGGATAAATAGGTGGTTGAAACTCTGAAGGTGGAGGAAGATGCTCAGACACTGTGGCAGAAGTAGGATGTCAGAGAAGCAACCATCTAGAATAGGCATGGACAAACTTAAGCCCTCCAGCGGCTTAAGCAGAAGAGGGGGGAAAGGAAAGGGCCTGAGGCTGTTAGGAATTGTGGGAGTTGAAGTCCAAAACACCAGGAGGGCCAAAGTTCACCCATGCCTGATCTAGAATCTTTCACTCATATATAGGGTAGGCATCATTTCCACAGCTATAATATTGAGGTGGTGAAAAGCATTTGTAATAGCAAATATTTTCAAGAACTTAAAACTGTTTCAAAAACTTTGGTAGTGTTCCTTGTCACCTCAGACTTTTTGCGGAGATGGTGCAACTGAAATGATGTCGGATTTATTTTTTCTGATCTTAGTTTACAGAATTAGTTGAGAAACCTGTGGATCTTGAGATGTTATCAGATTTTCACCATCACCATACTTCACTTTTGACCAGAGTGACTGAAGCTGATGGGAATGGAAGTTCAGAAAGAACCAGAGCGCCACAAGTTTTCCAACTGGCATG